CCTGTCATGCTTGCTTGGGGCCTGGTCCCCTCGCGTCCCTAGTGCTCAACACTCCCTCCCTGTCCAGGAGTGAAGGCCAAGAAACCCATCCAGACCAAGTTCCGAATGCCACTCTTAAACTGGGTGGCCCTGAAACCTAGCCAGATCACCGGCACCGTCTTCACAGAGCTCAATGATGAGAAGGTGCTGCAGGTGAGTGTGACCCTACCTTGCTCCCCATGTGGGCACCACAGGAGAGGGGACTTGCCTGATCATGCTGGGCACTGGGGGTGGTCATCTCCTCCCCATTTGGTAGATGAGGACTGGAGGCCCGGGGATGGGCAGTAAGCCAAACGGGATTGGTGCAGTCTAGCAGGCAGTTTCCTGACTCCCTGGAGGCCTTCCCCCATCCCTGCAGAGGGGCACAGACCACCAGGGCCTCAGCCCTCCTGACCACACTTTCCGTTTTCCTGGCTCACACTGTTCCCTCTGCCTGCAGTGCTCTTTCCTTTCTCGTTTTCACGTCTGGCAGGTTCAGCATTTCCGTCAGCTTTAGTGGCCCCAAGTATGGGTCCCCTGGGTTGGGTGGTGGTGGTGGTCATCCTCCTCCTCCTCCATGCTCCCTGTGCTTCCCCTGCATCTTGACCCTGTGGTCCAGCTGGGTCACTGGTTTATTTCTCTCCTGGTGGCCTAGTCAAGGCCAGATTGGTGGCTCTAGCCCCAGAGAACAGTGCTTAGCCAGGAGTGTGCCAGACCTCCGCCCCTCCCAGCCTCACCTCCCCTCCCGGCATCCTCAGGAGCTGGACATGAATGACTTTGAGGAGCAGTTCAAGACCAAGTCCCAAGGGCCCAGCCTGGACCTCAGTGCTCTGAAGGGTAAGGCAGCGCAGAAGGCCCCCACCAAGGCAACACTCATCGAGGCCAACCGGGCCAAGAACCTGGCCATCACCCTGCGCAAGGGCAACCTGGGGGCTGACCGCATCTGCCAGGCCATCAAGGCGTGAGTATCCCTGCCCAGGGCTTGTGGGCAGCCCAGCCCCTCTGCTAGGTTTGAGTCGTCAGGCAGATCCTAGTACAGGAGTCTCAACTGTGGACTCTCTTCATCAAGCTTCATACTAACCCTGGTCAGGGAACCTTGTCCCCATTTTGAGGCCAAGAAAACTGAGGCCATACTCTAAGTCCATGCCCCAGTTGGATATCCCCACTCCCTCCCTGTCTCTTCGCTCAGCTGTGGGCACTCAGGCTGAGGGATTTATACAGCTGAGCTTTGGCCACTGATGTATGGGAGACCCAGGCTTCTCAGCTCTCAATTTCCCTTGACTCCTACCCCTTGTTCTCTGATGTTGTTCGCAAATAGAAAATATTGAAGTTCATTTATTCATTTGGGGGTGGGGAGAGTCCTGCTTTCAGGGACTGGTGGGTATGCGGGAGACCCACTCTCTCCTCCCCTCCCACACACAGGTACGACTTGCAGGCTCTAGGCCTGGACTTCCTGGAGCTGTTGACTCGCTTCCTGCCCACGGAGTACGAGCGCAGCCTCATTGCGCGCTTCGAGCGGGAGCAGCGGCCGATGGAGGAGCTGTCGGAGGAGGACCGCTTCATGCTGCTCTTCAGCCGCATCCCGCGCCTGCCTGAGCGCATGGCCACACTCACCTTCCTGGGCAACTTCCCGGACACAGTCCAGCTGCTCATGCCGGTGTGGGCGGGGTGGGCAGGGCCGTGTGGCCAGGGCTGGGGCTGGGGCTGGGGCTGGGGAGGCAGCAGCCTGGGCTCCAACCCAGCATCTGGGAGTACTTGAGCCTCCTGATGGGAGAGACTCCAACTTACCTTCCCTCTTCCATCCCCCAGCAACTGAACGCCATCATTGCAGCCTCAATGTCCATCAAGTCCTCGGACAAACTCCGCCAGATCCTGGAGGTGAGGACCCAGGGCAAGGGTCGGGGCGGGGGCGGGGGGCCTTGCCTGTTCTGGGTAGTGTGAGAGGGAGACCCAGGCCCTGCCCACCTACAAGGCAGCAAAGATAATGTTCCCCCTTCTCACGCACATGCTCAGAAGGACAAAGCTAAGGCGGGGGTGGGGGTGGGATCGGCTCCTGCAGCCCTATCTGTAACAGCTCACCTGAGACCCTGCCCGAAGGCTGGGGCTTGCTCTGTGAGTGGCAGAGCGACCACACCTGCTCAGTGGCGCATTCGGGAGCCAGTGGAAATAGCTGTTAGAAAGCCAATGACCCCCACAGCCTAGGAGGGGATGTTGGCAACACAGTTTGGGGTTTCACTAACAGAGGACAAAATTAGGTGTGCCCATGGTGTTAACTGTGCATATATGTGAGACATGTACACACATACAGCTGTGTGTTATGGACCGGAGGAGTCCATGCAGGAGTATAGCGGGGGCTGAGTGTGTGGGGCTTGCTTTTCAGCACGTTTTCTCCTTGTGCAATATATACTGCAGGGGTTTCCCAGCCCCAGCATGCTGCTGAGTCTCTCTCCCTGGCCTCTCCCAGATCGTCCTGGCCTTCGGCAACTACATGAACAGCAGCAAGCGTGGAGCAGCCTATGGCTTCCGGCTGCAGAGTCTGGATGTGGTAAAGAGGGGCCCCGGGGCTGGGGGCTGAGGGCTGGCTGGTGGCCTGTGACTTACAACAGGTCCTTGTGCAGCTGTTGGAGATGAAGTCGACTGACCGCAAGCAAACGCTGCTGCACTACCTGGTGAAGGTCATTGCTGAGAAGTACCCACAGCTCACAGGCTTCCACAGTGACCTGCACTTCCTGGACAAGGCAGGCTCAGGTACGGGGCATCTAGGTCCTCGAGGGGGGGTGGTGGGGGGAGGGATTCGGCACTGGGCTGGTGTGGTTTAGGGAAGAGCAACGGGACGGTAAGATGTAACTGGGTGGGAGTGCTGCCTCTCTGATTCCGACTCTGTATTGCCCCCCCTCCCCAGTGTCCCTGGACAGCGTCCTGGGGGATGTGCGCTCTCTGCAGCGAGGCCTGGAGTTGACACAGCGGGAGTTTGTGCGGCAGGACGACTGCGTGGTGCTCAAGGAATTCCTGAGGGCCAACTCGCCCACCATGGACAAGCTGCTGGCAGACAGCAAGACCGCTCAGGTGGCCTGGGGCTGGCCGGTGTAGCCAAGCTTGGAGGGGTGTGGCCACTGCTGGGACTCCTGGGGTGGGGGTGGAGCAGGAGCGAGGGGCCACTCTGCCTGAAGGAGCAGAGGTGGGGTGGCCAGTGTGTTGAGGGGTACAGGCTGCAAGGTTCTGTGCTATGGGGCTGACAGCCTGTGTCTGCAGGAGGCCTACGAGTCTGTGGTGGAGTACTTCGGAGAGAACCCCAAGACCACGTCACCAAGCCTTTTCTTTTCTCTCTTTAGCCGCTTCATCAAGGCCTACAAGGTATGTGTGTCTGGGGCTGGGCTGGGAACCCTCCAGGTCATTGAAGCCTCTTCACTGGGCAGTGGAGGGGTGGGGGTTGCTTCTGTCTAGCGGGCAGGATGGGGAAGTAGGGAGGGCTGCCCTCATGGAGACTGCCTCGGCCCTCAGAAAGCAGAGCAGGAGGTGGAACAGTGGAAGAAAGAAGCAGCAGCCCAGGAGGCAGGCGCCGACACACCAGGCAGAGGGGAGTCCCCAGCACCCAAGGTAGGCAGCTGCCCCCAGCTTGGTCCAGGGATGCAGGGATGCGTGGTGTCCTCATCGCCCTCTAGCACTGCCCCACTCTCCCTGCCCAAGGCAAGGATGGCACCCCAGGAGCCTGGGATGGGAATGGGTTCCTTCTGCTCAAGCCAGCTGTCCTTGCTGTGGGGGACCAGCCAGATGTGCTAGGGTTTGGTGGGGTTAGGGGAATCCCAGAGCTGGAGCTATTCATCCCCTTCAGTCCCCACCCAAGGCCCGGCGACAACAGATGGACCTCATCTCTGAGCTAAAACGGAAGCAGCAGAAGGAGCCACTCATTTACGAGAGTGATCGTGACGGGGCCATTGAAGACATCATCACGGGTGAGGGCTTGGCCAGGCCTTGGTTTTGTCCTCAGTCTGTCCTTCTATGCTGTCCTCTGTCTGAACCTCCTGGGGGTCTGGTTGCCTTACTGTCTCTTGCTACCTTTTCTGTTTTTCTTTCCTTTTTCCTTTCTCTGCCCCCCTCCACCTGCCCCCACCCTCAGTGCTCAAGACGGTGCCCTTCACGGCCCGCACTGGCAAGCGGACATCCCGGCTCCTCTGTGAGGCCAGCCTGGGAGAGGAGATGCCCCTCTAGCCCCCCAGGTACCTGGATGGCCTGGCCTCTGGTCCCGCCCTGCCCACAGCCCTGGGGACCCTTGGGGGGACTGAGTCATGCTGCCCTCTCCCGGGCCAGTGCATGGCTGGGATGTTTCAGGGGATCTGGCAAACAGACAGTGCCCCCTCATGCACACAAGCTGGGTCCTTAGACGAGTGAGCCTATGCCCTGGAGCTGAGTCCCAGCTCTGGGAAGACTCCTGAAGGGTAAATGTGTCTCCTTTGGCTGCCAGATCTGCGGAACCAGCCCTACATCCGCGCAGACACTGGCCGCCGCAGTGCCCGCCGGCGCCCCCCAGTTCCCCCGCTGCAGGTCACCTCAGACCTCTCGCTGTAGCCGCTATATCCGCAGGTGGATTCTGCAGGGGGGTGGGGCCCTGGGCAGCCTAGGGCTCAAGGAAGGTGGTCCTCAGCTCGGCTGGGCCGGGCAGCCCCCTCCTCCGCTGTCCCCCGCCCTGGGCCCGCCTCAAATGGCCTGGTGCATCCTTCTCTTGCCACAGAGGGTGGCATCGCTGGCCCCTTCCCCCACATGCTGCTTGCAGCAACCCCCCTCCCCTCCAGATAGCCATACTTAGCCTCAGCAGGAGCCTGGCCTGTAACTTATAAAGTGCACCTCGTCCCCCCAACCCCCAGCCCGGAGGACTCCCTAAGGACCTTATTTTTATACGAGATTAATAAAGATGTTTGCAAAAGATACGCGTCCGCTCCGCGCCCACCCCCACCACGGGCAGCCTGTTTGGCTCAGCAAACGCTTTACTTGTTCACGCTCTTCACAGCGGGTCTCTGCAGACAGCCTGGCGAAGGCGAGAATGGCTGCTTCTGCACGAGGGTGGCGGGGGAGGGAGCCAGCTTCCAAGGGCGCGGGGACCCTGCGGGAAGGCGGTGGGTGAGCAGCTCCGCGTGGTCCGCCTCCCTGATGCCCCGCCCGGCTCGCACCCAGGTACCTCGTCCCTTGTCCTTTTGTCCCACCCAATTCCCAGTCACGCCGGAGCGCTCTAGGCTTACATCACATCTCTGCTCATCCCACCTCCGCGTCCCCATTTCTTTCGGTCCTGCCCCCACTGTTCCCCGCCCCGCCCCGTCCGCCCCGCCGCTCATCTACATATCCCGCCCTCCAGCTGTCACCTTGGCTGAGCCGCCCGGAGTTGGGTGGCAGTTTGGGGCGGCCAGGCCGGTAGGGCTTGGGGAGTCGGATGTCGGGGCCCAAGGCTCGGCTCTCCGTCCTGCGTTCTGGCGGCGTCCGCGCCTCCAGGTTCGGTATCTGAGCGTAGGGGCTGCGCCCAAGTGGGGCGGGCGCCCGGGAGGAGGCAGAGGAGCAGGTGGTCCTGAGAGCCCGTCCTGGGGAACCGGGGGTGGGGGTAGGTTGTGTGTGACTGGGGGAGCTCCCCTGCCCCGCGTCCCCCCGTCCAGCCCAGGGCGCACCTGCTTTGTACAGCCTGTGCAGCGAGCGCGCCAGCTCGGAGCCGGAGAGCCCACCGACGCGCGCGGCCTGGCAGAAGAAGGCGAGGCCCGCGTGGGCACGCGTAAGGCGGCCATGGCCGCGGGACCATCCCCTCCAGCCTGGGCCCAGCCGCAGAGTCTGCTGCTTCTTGGAGTAGTAGCTTGGAGGAGAAAGGTGGGGCAGCCCCTTCAGACAGAGCCGCCCCAGTCCTCTCCATCTCACGGGTGGGCAAAACCAAAGCAGGACAGGGAGCCATTTGTTTTTGGCGTGGGGCCAGCTGGGGCCCAGGAAACTGACTGAGAATTCAGAACTCTCCTCCCTGGGGCAGGAACATCAGGGGCTCCCTGCATGGGGCCGGTCTGCTCCTCCCATCCTGAGCCCAGGAGCAGGAGAGGGTGCCCACCTCTTCAACTCCTGCACTGACTTGGAGGGCACAAAGCCCTGGTGCACTAGCTTGAACAGCATCTCAAAGAACAGTGTCTGCAGGCCCTGGGGGTCACTGATGCAGCTGTTCTTCACCTGGCCTGGGGGCAGGAAACATGGGGGAGAGTGAGGTGGGGCATTGCCCAGGCCAGGCCCCACCACTGCCCCACCAGCCTGGCCTCTCACCCATGCACTGAGCCAAGCGGTGGTTGTCAGTGAGCACACCCAGGAAGTCTTTGAAACTCACAATTCCATCACCTAGGAAGAGAGAGGTGGGGGTGCTATGGGTGCCTGCCCCTGGAGAAGGCGTGCCCTGCACATGCTGATCTTGCCAGCAGTTCCGGGTGTTAGAGAATCCAGATCTGCCTGTAGCCAAGGGTAGACCCCAGTTTGGGGGAGAAATAGCCCTTGCTCTGAGGGAGCCCCAAGTCAGGATGTGGATTCACACAGAAGCAATGTTTACAGGCCATGGGATGGGTATGTTGATCAGGGCAGACTTCCTGGAGGAGGGAACTTTAGATGAGGACCAGGCCAGGGTTTTTGTGGGTGGCGTGGCATTCTTTAGGAGAATGCCCAGAGGTGGGAGGGGACAAGAGGGCGGGGATGGGGCACCCACCGTCCAGGTCTGCCTGTTGTAGAGCCTCACACATCTCCTGTGGACTCAACTGGATGCCCGCACTGCGCAGGGCGACTTTCATGCTGCGCATGTCCACGGTGCCTGTCGGGCTGGAGCTGAACAGTTTGAAGATATCCTGGAAGGCTGAGGGCAGAGAGGGGGTCAGGCAGCGAGGTGAGCTGCCCACTGTAGCTCAGGCGGGACTTGGGTCATTCCAACCCTGAGTATCGTAATTTTTAATATAAAGAGTAGCAGAGGCTGCTGTGTGTGGGTACATGTTCAGTGCCTGTTCAATCCTTATGTCCAAAATGCATGTTTGTATCAAAAACACTCAAAGCTCATGTCCAGGGTCACAGCTGGCAGTCTGGCTCCAAAACTACGGTGCTCTGGAGCCCTGCTGCTGCCTTGCATGTAGCAGGCACTGAAAATTGATGATGAATAAATGATTCTGCTTTGAGGGACCCCTGCCAATATCAGGACATGATCTTTGGGGAGCACTGGGACAGTGGTTTCTTCTGTCCTTACTGCCGACAGCTCCAGATCTCAGTGGGATAGGGGAACTCAAATTTTTTTTCTCATGCTTTCTCCTGCCCCTACCTCCTTTCCATCCATTCATCCATCTATCCATCCTCCTAAATACCTTCATTCACCTGTCCACCAATCCATCTAGTTTTCTTTTCCTTCCCTCCCTCCTTTACATACACACACACATCTCTGGGGCCATGCACATTTGTGAGCCCTAGGGGTTGTAGAGATGGCTTAGACAAGCATGGAGGGAAGGTTACGAACACTGGCTTTTTATAGTGAGCTCAGGGCAGGCAACCCCTCAGTTCTGCCCTGAGCACCCCCTAATTTTCTTCCCTACCCCCAGCCCTGGGGCCCTCACCTGCCAGCTGCTGGGACGTCAGGGGCAGCAGGTTCTCATCTGTCAAGCTGCTGCAGAAGGAAGAGGTTGGAAAGGCCAGTGCACCTGCTGCAGAGAGATGCCAGGGCCAGGCAGGACTTACCCCAAACCCAGCACCCCAGGCTTGGCCTCCAGTCCCTGCGCTCACCTCTGAGACCCGGCATCTGGGCCTGACTGTGCTGAACGGGTAGCTACCGGGCCCTTGAATTCCCTTGCCCTCCGTGTGGTCTGCTCAGCCTTCCTGGCCGTGGCCGCTGCTGGCTCCATGGGGGTCAGCTGGGCGGTACGCAGCCACAGCCTCCCTTTCTGCATCCTACCGACCTGCTCCTCTTCTAAATCTCCTGTGAGCAACCTTTGAGGCTTCTGTGGAGGCCTTAGAGGTAGGGAGAGAACAGGGCAGAGGGGCCCAGCCCATTTGGATGCTCAGACTCCAGGGGACATGGGACCAGGCCTGTGGGCATGCAGTTCCACCTCCTCCCAGGATCCTCCTCGAGAGGCTGTACCTGCAGCCCTCTGTCTAGAGTATTTCGGGGGCAGGGCTGGAGCAGTAATTCCCCCCACCCCAGGTGAGGGAAAGGGACCCTCGTCCAGCCCTGATCACCTGTAAGTTCTCTGTGTTGACGGGGGTCTCTTGGTCTTCTGCCTTCTGCTGCCTGAAAGGCAGAGTCACAGGCTCTTAGGCTGGTCCGGGGCTCCAGACTGCCTTTGTGGTGGATTGTAACATCTTTTGCTGGAGGTGCACTCTCTCCCTAACCATAGGCCCACTTCACCCTGTTGGGGCACCTATTGTTTTATTCTTTTGAGATTCTGCCTCCCTTAAGGCATCTGAATTTGTGACTCCACTTTGGACGCTAAATCAGGATGGCAGAGGCCCAGAGGGAGAAGCAGGCCCCAGGGTCCCGAAGCCAGGGGATAGAAGGGTGGAGTCCAACCTACCACATTTTATTTTTTAGAGATGGGGATCTCACTGTGTTGCCCAGGCTGGTCTCAAACTCCTGGGCTCAAGTGATCCTCCCACCTCAGCCTCCCAAGTAGCGGGGACTACGGGCACGTGTTACTGCACCCCGCATCACCTGTCACATTTAAAATACTACTCCAGGAAACCTTAACAATCTTAAAAGAATAGACATCATACAATGTCTGCTTAGATCACAATGGAATTAAACTAGAAATCAATGACATAAAGACGGCTGGAAAATTCCAGAATACTTGGAGATCAAGCAACACACTTCTGAATAATACATGGGGCAAAAAAGAAATCTCTAGAGAAATTTAAAAATATTTTGAATTAAATGATGATGAAAATACAGCTTGTTCAAAATTTGTGGGATGCAGTGAAAGCTGTGCTTAGAGGGAAATTTATACCATTGAATGCATATTTTAGAAAAGGAAAAAGATCTAAAATCAATTTTTTTTTTGTGACAGAGTCTTGCTCTGTTGCCTGGGCTAGAGTGCCATGGCAGCAGCCTAGCTCACAGCAACCTCAAATACCTGGGCTCAAACAATCCTTCTACCTCAGCCTCCTGAGTAG